GCCAGCTTTGAGGCATGATAGGTCGCCGAGGTCAAATTTTTCCATGCGAATTGCGCGTCAGTTCGCACCCTCAGGAGGTCCGTGGGTCCCTCAACTAGGTCAGTTTCCCTTTCTTCGACCTTCATTCTAATCGTGAATTCCTCCTTTAAAAACCAGGTCTGGAAATGGAACGACGCGACTTGTTGGGAAACCTAATAGTGTAATGTTCAGAAGAGGTCATGCATAAGTAGAGGGTACATCATTGATTGATTTCTCCAAGGGAAGATAAAGTTAGAGATAGTTGTCGGTTTGGTCAATTTTTGTCGGCTGGACCTCCCATTTCGCAGGCCTAAAATTTGAAAACCTGGAACAGAGGTGGAAGAGGAACATAGCATCTTGTAGAGCAGACAATTCTCTTTCGAATGGTATATGACGATGTAAAAGCATGGGGATTTAGATGAAAATTTTTTGGTTGAAAAAAAGCGACACTACTTATGAGACAACCTAATAGGTCACATGGAACTGCCCTGCAAATGCATGCATCTTCCGCAATGCGGTTCATTTTGCCCTCAACTACTTTGTTCAACAGAATTCTCTATAACTAAAAGTTTCAGTGACCGTTTATTTGGGTAAATCACCACGTCTTGGTAAAACCAAGCATGGCACAAAGAAACCCAAAGGCGACCTTTGGAGCACGGTCCATATAAGTGTCTGAGATCCTGTGTGTGTTTAACCCATTCTGAACCGTCGTTACGTGAGTACAGTCCATATCTCGAAATCTGATGAGGCGCTTCTTCGAATTTGACGTGGCGACTGTCGCACTTGATAGAAGTTGTGCGGATAAGCTGCTTCCAGCATGCTTTGCTGATATCCAGCGGAGTATGTTAGAAACAGCTTATCCACACGACTTCTATCAAGTGCGGCAGGGGCCACGTCAAATCCATAGACACGCCTTATCAGATTTGAAGTATGGACTGTACCTTCGTGGGTCATTGCCGACTCTTTTATCAGTAACCAGTTAACAGTTTTATCAGTGTTTGTAGATTTAATATTTTCTGTGCTCTAAAAAGCTTACTGAGATATTTGTAATCTG